AGAAGAATTTGTGTCGCTATACATAGCTCGTATAGACTTGTACATTTTACCGTTAATTCCATTAATAAGTAATTTGTATAGCAATGCGTCTCTATCGACACTGTCGAACGCTTTTCGTAAATCAACGAAAGCGGCAATAGTTGATAAATCCTGGGATATTCTATTTCTGATAATAGATGTCAAAATATAAATGTGATCTTCGCAATTTCTATCCTTTCTGAAACCATTTTGCTATATAAACGTTTACATATATATTTATAAATGGTTCATCGAAAGGAAAATCGTTGTACATGGTTTGAACAATATAAATTTGACTCTGAAAAAAAACATAAAGATGAAAAATCCGCCCATGGTTTTGAAACCTGGGTAATCGTTCAGTGAAGTGTAAATAAAAAAGCAGTAAATAAAATAAAGTGACGTCACAGAACAAATATATATATATACATCAGTCTGTATATAAATTGAAGACCTGTTGCGGGGAAACTTGTATTGCCCTGGTAACACAGTGATCGTGTCACTGAAACGCAGGGTTTAATACTTCCTCTTTCGAGTCGCCACGTTCGTACACTGGTTGTTCTGGCAAATGTGACGTAGTGTCATATGAGTTGACAACTGCGTTCTGCTCGTCGTTTGACGATATCCAAACACCCAACTTCTTTACATTTTCTTTGGTGCATGGTATAACAATGAATTCTTGACCACCAGTGTGACCTAGCCGGTACAAGAAAAGAATACCATAACGCTATGAATATGGTGTTACAGTATATGAACACATAATTATATTATACACGCATGGTGGAATAGCGACATGAATATATTGGTTTATTTACACTATATATGCACGATATAATATACCCTAAGCTTGTTTTTTGTCAAATTGTTCGTATTTGTAATCGATACTATACAGAGTCATAATGAGGTATATGGCGTCAAATATACCTATATATATATATGCCTGCAAATAAGCCAACAAACAGCTGAAAAATGATTTTGTGTTTGAACAAAACAATTTGTATGTAATCATAAAGATGACGTTTTTCCCATATACATACTGATTTGCTACCGAAGCGTACTTTTCACTGATCACAACATAGAGTTAAATATTACGAAAGCAATGGCAAACCACGCCGTTCATTGCTCTTTATTATGAAGAAACTAATTCGACTTCATATATTATAACCGTCTTGAACTGCGCATGCGCAAGGTTATCGTAGCCTCACTCTATTCATCACGACATAACGTATATAAATAAACAGTGTTTCAGTCATCCCTCTTCATAATTCAATACGTGACCTTCAAGTTATTCAAGTTCATAAATATCTGGTTATTTATTATTAATCGAAATCTACATATGTTGATAAATAGAGTTTGTTAATTGCATTTTATGGTAGTTTTTATAAGGTAAATTTGTGGGTGTTACTAGTTTGTATATGAAACAACACGTGGAGTGTATGTACTCGGGGGGAAAAAGTGTTATAATATGCAAAATAAAATCACTCGTGTGATGATTGTATTGTTTTATAATCAAACTAAACTCACCAGCTATATTCAGTGGACACCCTTGGGTAGGTCCGGTACGTATGTCTGGAACAGGGCGTATGATTGGCTGGAACACAATAAAACAATTCTATAGTCACATGACTCACAACTGTTATCAAGCTCTGTAGCTGAAGCTGAAGCAGCCCTGTTCATGTACACCAGAAATACGTTTGCAAGCAAAACAGAGCATACTGTGTTATTCGTTATTGTATAGCTTTAATCATTGTAAGACAAAATACAAAACAAACGAGAGTGGTGCAATGTTAATTGTAAAATGTAAATCAATCAGACTTCTGACTCTTCGATACCTTTGTTACGTAACATAATGGTTTTCCACATAATATAGCAATAGTTAGAGAAATGGGTAATGCGATGACAGCCACCAGCAAGATTGATAAATTGATGCCTTGTCTTACCTGGAAACAAAGATAAAATATGATAATTCATTAATAAACATGCATCCATGGAATAAGACATCATGATACATAGTTACAGTGATACGTTACGAATACTTACTAGTATGACAATAGTTACAACAGTTACACTCGTAATCGTTACTTACACTGATGGTAGAATGACATCAATCACAACACTTACACTCGTAATCTTTACTTACACTTGGTAGTATGACAACAATCACAACAGTTACACTCGTAATCGTTACTTACACTGATGGTAGTATGACAACAA